TACTAGTAATTAATTAATTACGTACTACTACCTTCGTTACTTCGTACGTACTATATATATATATATATATATATATATATATATATATATATATATATATATATCCTGATATTGGGCATAGTTTCTTTCTTAAGGAAAAGTAATTGAAATTCTGGTTTGGGAAATTGGAACAAGTAGTGTTACTTGTAGAGTTTTGCTTGGTCATAAGGGCCCATTATGACCTTTATATTGAATCCCAACTCCTCCCCCTCGCTGTGGCACCAACACGCACAAAAAATAATAATAGTAATCAAATAAGAACAAAGAAAAAGAAGAGGAAGAAGAAGATTAAGCTAAGAAAATATTCATTTGTTTCTTTATTATGTATGAGAGGAAATTTATATCCATTGGATATTCTTGATGATCTCGATAATGTTTCAACTCTTGAGAATTTGTAACATTCTTCGAAGGTCCTCCTAGGAGTTTGGGTGATACTAGAAAACTAGAAAGAATTTCTGTGCAAATTTGGAGGAAGATCGGTAAGACATGCTAATCCGATGACATATTTATTGTCATTTGGACCCGATCATTTTAATGCTAGCATGAGGCCTTCTAGCATAATAATGAGCTGTTAGAACTTTGCATAATATGTAACTACCTTCTAGTTAGACTTATTTCAATTTTTCCTTTTGAATCAAAGAAAATGTTTGTTTATTTAACCTTTTATTGATTTTAAGCATAAGTGATGAGGATATGTGATGTAGCTCTTACGTCTTAGCTCCAAATTGATTAGTTGCTCTGACTATTTGGAACAATAACTAGTCCATTTGCTGGTCCGGTACTCTGGTGCATCATTTAAACTGAGAATGTCTTTAGATAGGTTGTTTTTGGTCCCTTGATTTGTTTGACTAAGCAATTAAGCATTTTGAATAGTTCTCTTTCTGACATTGTTTGTCACGTATCAAAACTTTGACTCTTTTTCTTTCATTCCCATTCCTTAAATATTTTGGCATGGTCATTATTTTTTTCTTGACAAGATCGGTGATCCCCTCCCTTCCAAGTTGGAGGGAGGCTGTGAAGGACTTAAGATGGCATAAAGTCTTATGTTCTGAGAAAGCGATGGATTTTCATGTGAGCCATACTATAAGGCTATGGGAGAGAGTGATTAAGCAACGACTAAGGCATAAAATGAGTGTCACAGAAAATCCATTTATGTTTTGTGCCAGGGGGGTCAACAATTGATGCGATTTCCTACTTAGGCAACTGATTGAGAAATTCAATGAGAAGGGAAAAGACCTCCACATGGTCTTTTTTGATTTAGAGAAAGCTTACAATCGGGTACCTAGATATTTAATTTGGTGGCTGCTGGAAAAGAAAGGACTTTTTAGATGCTATATTGACATGGTGAGAGATATGTACGAGGGACCGCTAGCTAGTGTGTGGACAATTAGTAGAAAGACAAGTGTGTTTTCAGTGACAATAATCCTACATCAAGGGTCAGCATTGAACCCATATTTCTTTGTTTTAGTTATGGACGAGCGAACTACAAGATGAGGTACCATGGTGTATGTTGTTTACATCTGACATAGTTTTGATTGACGAGACTAAAAGCAACGTCAATGCAAAGTTAGAACTTTGGAGAGGTGCTTTAGAATCTAAAAGTTATAAAATTAGCTGGACTAAGACAAAATATATGGAATGCAAGTTTAGTAATAATAGGAGTAAAAAGAAGAAGTAGCTAAGATTGATGGCCAAAAAATACCTAAAAAGGCAATGCAAACGTCAACATTTCTCAAAAAAAAGAAAAAAAAAGAAAAGAAATACCTAAGAGGGTGTATTTTTGAGATTTGGGCCGATAATCTAGGAAAATGGAGAAAATGAGGAAGATGTCGCACATAGAATTAGAATTGGGTAGGCGAAGTGGAGATATGCAACCAGAGTTTTATGTGATCGCCGCATATCATGAAGCTGTAGGGAAGTTCTATAGGACAACTGGGATACCAGCCTTGCTTTATGAGACAGAATGTTAGGCGGTCAAGAAACACCATTCCCGTAGGATGAGTGTAGCTAAGATGAGAATGTTGAGATGGATGAGTGGCAAGATAAAAAAAGGTAGAATCCGGAATGAATACATTCGATTGAACTTAGGGGCGGCTCCAATAGGCGACAGGATGAGGAAAAGTAGACTTAAGTGGGCTGGCTATGCCCATACCCAATACAACATCGATTAGGAGGTGTGATTTGGTTCAAGCGGAAGGCTCTAAAAGGGCAAGGGAAAGGCCTAAAAGGGCATGGACGAAAGTAGTGAGAAAAAATACAAAGACTTATGGTCTCACTGAGGGTATAGCCCTTGATATAGCAAATGGCAGATTAGGATTCGTGTAGTCGACCCTAAATAGTTAGGAGAAGGCTTTGATGATGGTGATGATGATGATAACCCAAAAACCTATTCACTGTGATCCTCTTTGTGAGTGGATTTAGTAAGCTTTTTCATATGGCCTGTTGGTTTTTAGCAATTCAAAATTAAGAAGTAGCCTATTTAATTTTTACAATCAAATCTTTTATTGTACATTAACGAGGTTGGGTTTGAGGATTTGCATGGTTTCTATTATGTGCTATCTGTAGGAAAAGGAAAGAGGGGGGGGGGGGGGGTTCCTCTATGATTGTAGCTTAAGAGAAGGACATCTAAGTCATTAATGACTTGCTGCTTTGTTAGTTGGTAGAACACCATTATGATTTTTCATAAGGACTAGTAATATTATACGATTACTGGAGTAGCTTTGCTTCAGCATCAGAATTCAATTCATTAAGCTGAATTTTCAAATACAGTAGTAGCATGGAATACAAAGTCTCGCCCAAAAAGAAGGGGATAAAAGTAAACGGAAGCATCTTATTCCATTGAGTTATTCAAAGGAATTGGTTGAATTAGAGTGATTTCTATGAAGTAAATGGGTACACTAAATTTAGTTGGACCTATTTGTGGTCATGATTCATTGTTCTTTGTGGACTGGTTTTTTGTTGAGCTCTTCTTTCCCAAATTAATCCCAGGTATTTCCCTTCATCAGCCAAGGCACTAAAAATCGTTCGTCTTTGCTCAACAAAGTGAAATGCTAACCAAGGTCAACCTGGTGGAATTGCTTTGTATAAGCAGGCAGGTGTGGTGGATATTTATGGCTTTGGGCATCAAAGGAAAAGTTCTTATTTTTTATTTTCAGTTCAGTGGGGATGGTGTCAGTTGTGGCGACCCACCAACCTGACCACCTAGCTTTGAGCCCATTCCTTCATTAAAGAAAAAGTAAGTGTGGAAGACCCTTGGGTCATCTAGAGGATCTAGCCCCAAAGAGATAGGCAGATTTTCGAGCGTACAAGACTTCATCTAGAGGACCTAGCCTGAAAGAAATAAGCGGACTTTAACAGGATGAGCTTTTATGTGCTATGCATCATAGCATTCGAGGATTTTGGGTTCTTGAGGAAGCGAGAAAGGGTAAGGTGTTTATTTACTAGGGTTCTTTGCTGGAGGTTATGAGGTTGCTGCAAGATTAAGATCATCATATTTCTAAGTCTTGCAGTTGCCACAAGTTTCATTTTGGCAGTTACGACAAATCAATCTCGTTCTTGCTAATATAAGGGACGCTTTTCAGATGAGCATAGGCCTGTGATATATCATTTGTGAGACGTGCTGGGTTGGTCAATTCCACTTGGTGGCTTCCTATGTCTTTATGTGTCTCTTTGGGTTCCATCTGAGGTATTTATTACTTCTCTTTGTGGTAGAAGGTTCTCTCAGAGTTATGTTTTGACTTGATACAAGAAGGGCTTCATGCAGTCTATCTATCTCTCTCTCTCTCACACACACGCACATACACACAGACATACATGCACATGCGCATGCGTGCGGGAAAGAATGGGCTTCAACACCACTGTTGTGGACCATGATCCTCTAGAAAACAATGAAGAAAAGAAATACGTTATATTTCGGGTTGTGTAACAAACAAGAGACATTGAGAATATCTAAAGGGAAGCTTATTCATTGGATTGCTAGAATGCCCCATGTGGAGAGGGCTAAACTTGGAGATGGTTGAAGGTTGGATGCGCTTCAGCACAAGTTTCGGGGAGCAAGCAAAGATAGATGAAGAATGGCACTGTGTTTAAAGAAGCAAGTGTGTTGGCACGCTTTCTATGGGCGGGAATTTTTCTACGATGGATCATTGGTTTCCTAGAAACGCAACTGGGGCAATTATGAGATGATTCTGTAGCCCCTAGGTTTGAGAGACACTCAGTGGGCTATATTGGTACCCCATGGTCTCAAGTACTATGGATTTGCACTCATTCTTGCTCAGTAATGAAGAGATTCTTGGATTGTCATCTGATGGTTTAAGATAGCTTATGCAGCTCGCATATCAAAGTAAAGAAACCTTGTTTGCTCCCAGAAAGTAGACAATTCCTTTGCTGAAAACTTTTGACATGTTGTTAAAACTTAATGTTGTGAGTGTATCTCATGGAAAGAAAAAAGCAAATGCGGTGTTAGCCAGTGTAACTAATTCAAGGGTTATTATGCTAGCAAACATGGTGCTAGCTATTTTCACTCCCCATGTTATTGCTAGGTATTTTACTGCTAGATATGTTAACTTGCTAAATATCAATGACAAACAATTTAGATGCAATGCATTTGTCTTTGAACTATAAAAGAATAAGTCTGTCTCTATGCAATAGTTTTCTTTTTCCTTATTTTCTTTGTTTTGTTCACAACTTCAAATTAATCCAAGTTACTTGACCTTGATATACATATTATATGAAGCAAACTAGGAAAAATAGATGCGTTTTTTGCGTGATCTTTACTCAGCTCATCACTTGGCATATGTAGTTACTGATCCAAATCCTGGGAAGGCTACATTAAACAATAAAAAAGTTGCTTTTTGATATGCATGTGGTTTACTTGTATCAAGACATGAACATCTTTAATTCGATTCTCTGTTTGTATTCTGTATTCAATGCCATGGGATTTATGCCTTGTTAATCACCTTCTACGAAATTTGAAAGAACTTGGTTAAGATACTCGTCATATTTGTAGGTCCATTGGGAAAGATTGAACTGGAAGTTTGTCAAATAGTTTTAATATTTCCTACGTCTGATATAAAACCACTATTTTAGCATTGGCAGAATTTTCAGTTGAAAATATGAAGTTGTTTTCTTTTTGGCTCCTAGGCACAACTCAGGGAGGCTTCTTTACAAGAAGAAAATACAGCATATGAGAAGGCTATATCCGTCGGACAGAACCAAATTCAAGAAAAGTTGCAAGAGGCAGATGCACTGAGAAGTAAGCTAAAGGTTGAGTTTTCCCAATTCTTAAGATTGATTTTTCATGCAATTGCAAATGGAAGAAGAGAGGATTTCTTATCTTTTTTGTATACAAATTGAGCATATCTTCATTTTTGTAAAACTCGATAAAATGTCTATGTATGGACACTATTTTCCCCCCTTTATTATCGTATAGGTAAAAAAATTTACAAAAATTACAACAAGCACACCCCTCGGTGGGTTTTTTTGTTCCTGAATTGCCCATCCATCCATCAATTACAACACCGAGCATGAGGGAACTGTGCCAATTTTTTTTATTTGGCGAGCTGTCCAGTATTCGTGATACCGAACATCTCTATCTTTCCGAGTGTCCAACCTTATATCGTCGGGCTACTTGGCTTGCTGGGGAGTCCGGCTTTGCAAAACCGTACAAAGGTTATATGTCTGGTATTCTCAATAACAAACAGCCTTGTTTGGCCCTTGAATTAATTAATAATGCTGTGTGGACTAATAGTTTTAAATTATTAATTGAGAATAGGACATAATGGATCAATGTTTTTTTTCATCTCATAATTTGATAGAAAGTATTACCCAAAAATGTGACATCTTCCTCAAATCTCTCAATTTTCTTGGATTATTGCCTTAAGATATTGAAAGTGCGGCCTTTTTTGTACTTCCTGACAGTCAATCTTAACTAATTCCTCATCTCTACTCCTAGTATTATTAAACTTACATTGCATATACGATGTCTTAGTCCGGCTAATTTTAAAACCTTTGGATTCAAGAACATCCCTCGAAAGTTCTAACTTTGTGTTGAACTTGTTTTGGGTCTCATTGATCAAAACTATGTCATCTGCGAACAACATGCACCAAGGTACCTTATCTTGTAGGTGCCTAGTTAAGTCATCCATAACTAAGACAAAGAGGTACGGGCTCAATGCTGACCCTTGATGTAGATCTATTGTCACTGAAAACTCACTCGTCTCTCTAAATTAATAAAGACCATGTGGATGTCTTTTTCTTTTACCCTAAACTCAATTAGTTGCTTAAGTAGGAAAATAACCTCAGGCGTTGACTTTCCTGGCATAAAATCGAATTGGTTTTCAGATACACGTTTCATACATTAGTCGTTGCTCAATCACTCTTTTATGTATGTGTTTGTTTGTGTGTGTATATATATATATATATATATTTATTTATTTATGGGTTTGTATATATATATTTATTTATGGGTTTGTATAGAGCCTAGGCTCTAAACAATCAAATTAGAGCCTACCTTCAAATATTGTCGACCAATGTGGTTTCAATACCGAAAGTCTTTGTCATAGCCTTAAAATATATTTTCATTTGTATTTATAAATTTTAAATCTTAAAAAATAATGTAGATCTACAGATCTATGAAAACTTGAAAATCTTAAAAATTAACGGTCCAAAAATGTGCTACAAAATACACTATTTCCAAAATTTGAAATCTATTTTTTTTCTCTTGTCCATGCATCTTAATGTCGAGATGATCAATTTGATGATATTTGAGCATCAAAACAACCTCTTCTAGTGAAATTTTTTAGTAGGCTCTAATTTGATTGTTTAGAGCCTCGCTCTATATAAACTTTTTCCTTTATTTATTTATGTACCACTTGCACTAATACATTAATTGACTGGCTTATAGTCAATCCCTAAGCTAACATGCATATTTGCACTCTCAGTGTAATTAACATGGATATTGGAATGATTTTATGCATTAATGACTAAAGGAAAATTTATAGATTGAAGCAATAAATCTCTTGTACTTTGGTAATGAACCTGGTGATTTTTTTTTTCCCTCAACGAAATATCTTACATAATATATGTTCATTAGCTATGTGTCTCTCTTCCTTAGTACATGTTCTTGTTCTTGAATTCTGGCTCCTGAGGATGTCTCTTTTACTAATTATGTGGACATTGATAATGTTTTACTCCACCATTGTGCATTCATATATCTAGGTCTTCCAACAGTAGGTATCTTAAGTTATGGCTACTGGTGGAGTGAGATTGTTGTCTTGCTATAGTGGTTATTATGAGCTTAACCACAATGATGGATGTATCTATTACAAAGAGGGGAACTTAAAAACTACAATATAGCAGGGCCAACTCGCTTCAGCAACTAAAGGCTCATCTGACATCTATATTAAGCTCTGACCCAATCGGTCAGATAATTTTGTATCAAGAAAGGACCAACCAAATATGGATTTTGTTGATTTAAGAGATGATGAGGATGCAATATGTATGCTCATGGTGGTCTCGAATGTATCCTTATGCGTCACAAATTAGGATATCGCAACAAATCATTGAAGTGCATCAACCAGTTGAACGTACCTCTGCTCAATCGGCAAGAAACAGGTGTGTAAGATAAGAGACCTCCAATTATGTATTTATATTATTGCATCTGTCCAAGTACTCACATAATGAATTCAAATATGAGTAAATTTTGGGAAATTATGGATTTCTTCTAGTAATATATTTCAACTATATATGTTTTCTTGACGTATATTGAGTTACATGTGCTTCAATACCTACTAAATGCTTGACATGTTTTCTCATAAGGGTGGTAATGGATCAGGTCCTAGTCCAGTCAAACACGGAGCTAGAGCCGGACGCGGAACTGGATCCGACTGGGTCCAGAGTGTCCTCTCTTGGCCTGAAAATAGAGGAGAGAGAGAGAGAGATCGAAACCCTAAAAAAAGGCGAGTACAATGATGAGAGGATTAATCCCTAC